TGACTCAAGTTAGCTATTCTAGTTCAGATCAAAAACTGTCCTATTTTCGACAGTCTTGAATGTTGTTCGAGGTATGAGGGCAGTTATCACTTCCCCGTCGCCCACACCGTGGAAGGGTTCTTGCAAAGGTACCTGGAAAGAAAATTGGGTTAGAGGTGGTCTTAGTGACCCGAAAGCGTGACTGCAGTTCCTAAGAGACAACTGCTTGACGTCGGCCATACACGACCTTTTTGTGAGTAATTTTCGTGTTAGCTCCGTACTTATTGGGACCTTACCGCCGGAAACGGATATCCGTGGGATAAGGTGAGGTGTGCATTTTTAGGGCCGACCCTTTCTAACCCCACCCCTCTTTGTGGGAAGGTAGCATCGCTGTTATGCTGGTTGTCTGAAGGAAACACCTTACTGCCATCATACCTCTGTACAGTCGGCAGTACGACTTCGCCTTCGGACATTTGGTTTGTTGCTTTTAGTCTTATCACTCTTCAACCGACCTCTGGCATGGTAGGACCTTGAGGAACGATTGTTCCAGCCGATATAGCTCGATTAGTTCGTCACGATAGGCAAGCCCGACCACCACGTCAAGGTAGCAGCAACGGTCGGGCATTTTCAACAGAGCTTCAAATGATTTACCAGCTGAATAATTGTTATTGTATACAAAATTATAGTGAAATAATCAATACAAGAAAAAAATATGTTGGTAATCAGGTAACCAGTTACAACTGGAATAAACTGAGCATACGTTGAAGGTTGTTGACTAGATGGAAATCATCTTAAACAACTGATCTACGAAATGAAGATTGTTTTTTACTTTCTTATACCGTCATATTTGGAGAGATAGCATCCCTCATTATCTGTCTTATTAATAATACACTGGTTTTAAGTAACCACAGTAGATACTAAATTTTTCGATGTTCAATGCTTTTACAAATGAAATAATTGGTATTTCTCATTTCATTGATTCTGTTTATACATCTTTATCATTATAGGTTCAATGGTCACCACATCATGAAACTATTCTTGCTAGCTCCGGTACTGATCGACGTCTACATGTTTGGGATCTTAGTAAAATTGGTGAAGAACAATCAGCTGAGGATGCTGAAGATGGACCACCGGAATTACTATTTATTCATGGTGGACATACAGCGAAAATTTCAGATTTTTCATGGAATCCAAATGATGCATGGGTTATTTGTTCCGTATCTGAAGATAATATATTACAAGTGTGGCAAATGGTATGTTTTCTCTTATTGTGAGGACTTATCTAGTTCATAGCATAATTTGAGTTCTGAATTATCCGGTTTTTTGATACTCAAGATTGAATTCTTCATCAATCTCTTAACATGTATGCGTCCCATGCTGATTGCCTCACATAGTTATTTTATCACACGTTCTCAAAATGGATTAGTTGTAGCCAGCAGTGAAAACAAGGACAAGCGTCTTGTCATAACTGGAACTCGTCAGCCGTTCGTACCTCCATACTGAGGTTAACATTCGCATTAGGACTTGAACTCAATACCTTTCGATTCAAAGGCCAATATGTTGTTCACTGAGCTACTGAGTCCAATGCTACTCATAACTCATTTATCTATTTGTTCAATGAGTTTTAAAAGTTAACTCCTACGGTTCTGTATCTATAAATCCACTAACATTCACACTTCCTGTTAAAAATGAGTACTAATGCATATAAGTAGTACTGACTTTTATCAATACCATCCACAGACTAAATTTATATATTATATCCAGTGATTTATTACAATTCCTCCCTATTCGCAAAGGCCAATCAACACTTTGTGAAGATTGGTTGGTTGTTTTAACCTCACGATTCCACTTCTTGGAACTATCAAGTAGTTTAAAGTAACTAACGAAAACTCCTAAACATTCAAATTTCTTTTTATGCAATGTATATGTAATCTAGACTAATTCTACTAACGTGATTGGGATCAATATCATCATCCACCTTTTTGAAAGTTGGAAACGTTACTACTGACAGGATCTATCATATAATATATTGGTTTTACTTAGTCATTCCTACCAATTGTCGCTAAGTGATTAAGGTGTTCAACCTTCAATCGCTAGGTCAAAAGTGCGCGTCCAGGCTTGCATATTTCTGTTTATGCATCCGGGTAGTGGTAGTAGTACCGATGGTATCACTAGCTTCTGTGCATAAAATGTAGGTCAAAAAGCCTATTACACAAATCTGTACGACTTTTTGGGTGAGTTATATCACAGTACACAACGTGTTGTAACTCAACTAATTCAGTGTTTACATCTCTCTCTGTTTATTATTTCAGGCTGAGAATATTTACAATGATGAAGAGCTTCCATTGACCATTGAAAATGAATAGATTTATATCCAATATGCATTTCACACATTTTTCAATTTTTTTTATTATCTACACATCAATATACTGTCATGCTTATTTACTAAAGAAAACCGAAAACGACTTATGTTACTAATGCGATGTTTTCTTTTGAATAAAAATCGTCGATAACAGTATTTTGTTTTAGGGGATAACTCCCGTTTCACATAGTATTATCAGCTATTAAGTACAAAAAGTGTCCCATCATGTCGACTAGTCTATTCTGCAAACTGTTTGCACCATTTAGTAGACGTATTCCGGGCACTTGTATAAAGCATAGTTCTTTTGTGTTGGTTGCTTCAATCTTACCATTGGTCTTTAAGACTGCAAATGATCAGCCTATTTCGGCGTATGTGTATTCTGCATGGAGTGTCATTAAGTCACGGGGATTATAAGCCAGAGATGGATGGTGGTTAGCAGTGGAACCCAGAGTGAGCACGATGTCTTATAGTTCTTATGACTCTATGGGTTATATTTTTCATATTGTCAGCATGTTTATTACTGAGAACTTACTTCACAGAAAGGTTTTCATTGAGTATGCTCTTAGGATTGCTATATGGAATTACCACATGTCAGATATTTGAGACTAGTTTTTTGATTAGTTGGCAACATCGCTCTATCATGTCGTGTGAACGCTCGTCCTCTTAGGATCAACCAAGTTGAATGTAAGTAGAGGGAAGTGACTGGTTTATGATACAAACTGAACAAGTATTAGACAGAGTTTAAGCCCGGGAACCCATTGAGAATATCACCTTTTTTGTTAATAAGCAATAGATATACGGTAAGTTGTAGAGCTGAAATCGCTGATAGAAGTAGAGAGAGATACGGAGAACTATCCGAATATAATTCTATCCCATGTGTCATGCTGTGAAGAATTGAGGTATTCTTACGATGATAATATGTATCTTCTAAATCTGTAAACAACCCTGAGAAGTCAATGATAAAATTGTAAGAATGATCTAAGCGAAAGATTTTTAGTCCTCAGTAATCACAAACAACAGAGATGTTCTCAATGACGTTTTGTTTGATGAGGAATCTATAGTTACACTCATTATTAAAATGTCTGGACGAACTTCTCTGTAACGCACAGAGACTTATGTCAAAATATGGGGTAAAAAGTTTTAGACTATTGGTCAGTCAGTTAGTCGTTGGTAGATCTGGTAAGAATGTGTAGCGATACAAGTTTTCATACATCAAACTGACATCGCCACACTTACTAAGCAGGTCTTCTCACTTTGAGAAATCACAGTTAAAAAGCTTCACAAGCGAACTGGAATCTTGATTTTAGACCTTGCTACACCCATTTAAGTAATATCATCAGTCCTCATCTTTTAGTTATAACTCAAAACAGAGAACACGCCTGTACTTCTTAGAAGAAGTTATATGTTACAATTGTGTAATGGTGCGAGTTTCCAAAACTGAAAACAGTAATAGAGATTAGTAACATGGAAAGTCAGGGGTAAGGGATGTCATAAGAAGGTTGGAAATCGAGAAAATAAAATGATTTGACGTCAGGGATTTAAAAAGAAGATGAAGAATAAACACTGGTTTCGCAACCACTTATTATTTTTATACATCATTGTTGTACGAATTGGGATCCAGTTCAAATAACGTTATTGTTGTCTATACACCATACATAGCTTTCCTACTGTATGTTTTTGATCAACTTCTGAAGAGAAGAAAACTGTCTGTATTATTTTACATGGGTGGGAAGATGTAGAGAAACTACTTTTAAGCGGTGGGCTAGTGATCAAAAAGTTCGACCTTATTCCATTATTTGAGTCCCGCCGCTGGGTAGTATCATTAGGCCTCACTCAGTGTACCTCATAGCCAACCACCTGGTGAATGAATTAATTTAATTGAAATAATCTATTAAAATAAAATTAATGTAGATTCGCTACTTAATCTCACTTTTTAGCTATTGAACTACAGGTACATACAAATAATTTACACTTCAAACTAAATAGTAATACACTTATATCATGTATCTTCAGTCATAAACAACATAGGACCTGAGATATATTTGTTTTGGTTCAAACTTCTATATAACATCGACACAGTTAAAATGAAATTGTCAAGATAAATGCCAGAGTACTGAATGTAGCAACAATATTATTAGTAATAGAAAGTTAGGGATAGACAATGTGATTTGGAGGGAATAACGTATTAGATAAATTAAAAACTAAGACAAAGCGAATACATCTACGTCATTGCGACCGATTTTGAGTTATACAACTATTTATTTATTTGAACACAAATACTGGTACAAAGGGGCACCAGATATATATGCGCCACACATCAAATGAGATTTATGTGAGGGCTGTGATACTGCCCAGGTGCCAAAACCGAGACAAGTGGTTTTCTTAGGAGGCCACACCCGGAGACTTTGAACTAAAGATTTGATCCATAAGGCAGTCGAGCATCGTAAGGAGATGCAGTCCCATGGTAGCCGGTAACCAACGACTGATTCATACGCCATTTGTTCCCTCAGGATACTGGAGTCCATGTGCACCATTGGTTTGGAATCAGGGTTTTCCAACTCCCCTAGGTGGACTCACCGTGTCCACCAACCCGGTTAAAGCGGTGGACATTCGCTTTTCGTCCTGTCAATTTCGTAAACAACAGTAATGCCACGAGAAGGCAGTGAGTGGGATTTCCCTTGTAGAGGCTATATACTCGTAGCCATGTGAACGCATTTGAAGAGGGAGAGTGGACCCTCCCAACTCTTGGCTGTACCAGGGCATTTGAAGGCAATTGTACAACTACATAACATATGCGCAAACGTTCCGGTTTAGGGACAAATAAACAAACCAAATTCAAGGTATGTATCTATATACATTTAAAGTATTCACATTTCATTGTTTCAAAGCTCAATACCTAAGAATGTTAGTATGTTCATAAAAGAAAAAATACATTTTTAAACACGTTTATTTTTTTTCTGTTTACGTTCTAATTTATCTTGTTCATCAAATTCTTGAATTAATTTTAAAAATTTTGGATCTTTTTTATCTGGATAAAAACCAAAACGATCTCTTGCCTATAAAAAAAAGAAAAAAAATGACAAAATCTCTATGTATAACGTTACCTCTTCCATTAACATTTCCATTTTATTCTTTTTCACCGTATTCATAGATGTTTGATTAGCTTCTTGATCATGGAATTTTTTTATTATTTCAGGCATTTTATTTAAATTTTTCTTAATTTGTAACATTCTAAAAAAAAGAGAGAGATGAATAAAACAAATGAGAGATAATGATTCAATTTACAATGTTTCATTGTCCATTCTAGCTTTCTTCTCTTGTTCTTTTTTAGCAGTGACTATTTCTAAAATTGAATTTTCAAGTAAATTTTCTTTATTTTTTTCATAGGTTATTTCATTTTCATTCATAAATAAAAGAGCTGGATTCACACCACTATGTAAACCATATTGACCAAATAAACGTCTTTGATAATCTTCAGTTTTTTCTTTTCTATTAGTTAGTTTAAAAAATTCTTTAGATGGTTTTATTCTTGCTTTTAAATGTGATGGAAGACGTGAAGTATCAAAATAATGTAATTCAGTTGGTAGACGAGATTCAGTCCATTCTTGATTCCATCTTTCATAAGCATTTGGTTTTGATTGTGTTATCGTTTGAAAATCATCCAAATGAAATGGTATCCACCAATGACGATAGTATTTTTTATTTCTAATTTGAGTAGTTATGATACATTTTTCATGAGCCAATAGTTTATGAACATATGCAGATAAATTAATCATTTAAAATCTATGAAAGTAAAGAAAAACAGTGATGAAATTATCCCATGGTTAATATTTCTTTTACATTCTTATCACCTTCATTTGAGGTTACATGAATTACCCAGAAAGATATTAGTAGCAGAGATCCTAGCGACAATTAAATCGATCAGAATAAAATGTTTACATTAGTAAACACCTATATTCGGTAAATAACTTATAAATAGCAGGAAGCTCATTTTCAAAGCTTTACACTTAACTTTTGACAACAATGATTTTTTTGTGAATTATTCATGCTGCCAAGACATTTTAATACAAGAGCATGCTGAGGTGAATTGATTTTAAAATTACTTAATACTATAAGGGTGTCAAATTATGCCGTATTTTAATATTTCGAGAGAAAATATAGTACCCGATCACATTAATAATTGTTTAAATTTCTCTATTCCTCTCAGTGAAAACGTACATTTCTTAAATAATACCACTGAAAACGAAATCAGATTAGTAACGAAGATCTTGCAAGTCTATTGAGATGACCGCACAAGCTCAAAGGGTAATTTCTTAAGGTCGGTATTCTACGATTTTCTGAGTAGTTTGCTGGCACCAACAATACGTTACGCAGTATGAGGGGCGCGATTACTACTCATATGAAAAGGCGGTATTACTGGAGTAAAGTTTGAAGCCAATGTATTTCTATCGGATTATTGCCATGAGTAAACCCATCCACAATATCAATATCAAAGCTAAAGTAGGATCTAACGTGGAATTTTGGAAAAAAAAGGATCTCGTCGACAACTAACTAAATACAGTGTTTTATTTAACTTCTGACTGTACGTTCTTTTAAGCAATATATATACCATACGTGTTATTAACATTTTCTGAGTTATCACTAGAGAGTGTATAATTATTACAACACGTTATCCAAACAATGAAAGTAATTTCTAGGTACTAGACAAGCTCTGTAACTTGAAAGACTTCTAGGAAAACAGAATATATCACCTTAAACCAACCTATGCTATGTTAATTGACAGATAAAATGCCGTCAGGAAATGATTGCAGACGTAGATATAGCTTAGTGACTAAGCCAAAGGATTTGTTTTTAAGGAATAACTACACTCATTTAGTCTCAAACACAAGGATGAATATTCCACATAATAATTAGACTGGTTTCTTAAAATGATGATATCCAACACATTTCACGATTTAATGTAAATCAAGCGTTATATCTATAAAAATAGTATTCAGTTGACAATAAAGACGAATGGAAAGTCCAGTAAATTATATAAATCTGTTATGTAAGAGTGAGATGAAAACTTAAGCGTGCTCCAAGATAGTCAATCGGAAATTAATGCAAAATGTAGCTTGTTTACCAAGTTAAGAACAAGTGTTTTCCCTAATATCTTGACCTACATGATCATTTTGTTAATTTTGGGGATAATGCAACTAAATACCCCAAAATTTCCCTTAAACTGGGTTTTTTAATTCATTTTTATGGTTTCCCATAATATTTTATGTAATTGTAACTTACCACAACAACTTAGTACAGCTCATTTTCTTAATGAACACTCGTCATCCACATCGATATGATCTGCAATTTCTTTAGACGTTATATCCTCCCTATGGACAAACAGCTGGTTGTTCAAAAGCTAACTTATAAGGATAAATATCTGTCTTCTCTCCTTATCTTTGACTATGTAAGCTTTTGATTGTTGCCGAGATTTAATTTCATGGCATTATACAATTTAGAAGTGTTGCATAAGATGAGGACAGTAAGCCCATGATATTGCATAGGGATTAAGGTACATCTACGACGTATATCTGTCACTGTGACCCGTTAGTGTGTGAAACGATGGAAATTTAACCGCGAACAGGGGCAAAAGGTGTTCGTGTACAGTGAAAAATCTGGAGATTTCACAATGAAGTTTGCATGATATCATGGAGAATATATATATTCTCCGGGGTTATAACCCCGGAATGTTAAGATTCTGGGGTTTTTCTAAAAATATACAGCAATTCTGAGGCAAAACTACAGACCAAAGGCATTTTCGGGGTTTATTCGATTAGTCGCCAGAATTACTAGTGGGGCTTACCTGAATTTCACCAAAAATTAACGGTTTTCCCCGAGATTCTAAGATTGATTGCTGTTTATGAGGTGAATTAGGGTCATAAAAAAGTTGCTTCGTACTTGGATGCTGCAATTCGCAAGTTTAGCAACAGATTAACAACAAGATGACTAAGAAATTACCCAAATCCAAGGAACCTTTAATAGAATTTATGGTAACGCATAATACTGAATTGGGCGCAAACCTGAAGTACGGCTACAACCTCATTCTTTGCTGAATAGAAATGTTATCAGCCGCTTATTCCTTTGATTTTGTATATAGGCAATAAGGGACCATTCTCAATCATGAAGAGGCATAGTTATTGTTGCGCTTCCTTGGAAGCTAATTAGGTTCCTACTACTTAAATAGTAAGAACATATGTTAATAACGGTCGGAGAGGTTGAGGAGTAAGGGAATCTCCCTCACTACTTCAGTAACTTAGGTTAACATCTAGAATACTTTCAACTGATCCAGTAGAACGTGTTGTTATGGTTTTCATTATAGAATCTTATAACTTGTGTATTCGAATCACACCAAGTATGCACGAACATATTGTACTAGGTCGTTCGTGTTCCATACTGAGGGGGTCTGTTTTTAGTTTAAGTGTATTGGCGAATCACATAAGCTGTTTATATGAGTTGTGGGGATCTTGAGCTTTATGTTATGTCATAATCTTGTTATCACTAATCCACCTAGGCCTTAAAGGTTGTAAGGTCGGTATTGCCAGGTGAGTTGAGTAGAGCCTGTAGCGATAAACGAGTTCTCAAAACCAGTAGCTCTGTAAGTTTTTGACATTGAATGTTGACCTTATTATTGTTATTAGACTCATCTAGATGAAGGCGCTCGGTCATATATACACACCAGATCACGAGTGGAAGCGCCATGTTGAATATCCCCTACAATCACTAGCCAGTCTAGAACAGTCGATTCTCAACATATTGATAGCCTATCAAATATATCTTCGAACCTCCTCCATTCTAGCTCCTCATTTCACTGGGCGGGTACGATTCATAGTTAGTGTTATTGGTTGAAGTGTTATCAAACTCCAAATACCTGTGGCACATTCATCGGTGAGCCCTACGTATTCTGGTACACCCACTTGCACACTAAAAGTTTCTTCCTTTTTAGAATTTCTTATGTCATTGCTTTAATTTAATTTTTATACATTGCGATATCCTTTTCGTGCTCATATACACTTAAAAGAATACTCCAGAAGAGGTGATTCTCTTTTATTGACGTTCTGGAAAATCTGGAGTAAGACGAAAACCGACCTACGTTTGTGTTCATATGACGTTATAATGGGTCACCTACGTTTTCCAAAGCTTGAGATAAGGAGTATAGTTAAATATATCACTAATTTCAGGTTTCAAGATCATTTCAAGTTCTTTTAAATGACCCCAAATCTATCGCAGCTTCAATTGTAGCTGTAAATTACAAACGTGTTGGGAAAATGAGGTACAAATTAATAGCAGAATATATCCGCTGTTACGACAACGGCATGGTGCATGTTGCTGATACTTCACGTGCACAATGTGTCTGTGAGGGTTTCAATGACTTCATGCTGCTGTGTGGTCATATATCGTATGCACATTCTAAAGATCCTATTCGTGGAGGTAAGTGTGTGCTTCTTTGTCTCCGTAAGCATTGTAGACTTATTTCGACATAGCAACAGGTGGACGGGTAAATGTATAATTAACTTGTTTCTCCGTGTGTTGGACGACATGCCAATCTCTACACGGACTGAAGGCCTGCTGGAGAAGTTCACGAATAACTACCACTCAGTCCATGCTCATGGTGAACCTCTGGCAAATAAACTTATCCGTAGAAATCACACAGCAGTTAACTTTTACCATCACTGAATTGATTTCGCATCTATTCAAGTTTTTTCCCGTTAACTTCGTAAAGCGAACATGTTTCTAAAGCAATTAAACCATAGTTGGTATCAAGAACTGGTCTGTCACGATAGATAAGCATTGCTGTAATTGAAAGACATGCCTTAATAATATAAATGTTCATCAAAGTTTAAAAAAAACAAATTATCCGTTGTCAAATAACTTCTTCCAGTTCTTAACATTTGCTCATGCGTATTGGTTAAGTACATCAGGTTGATGTTGAACTTTCATTCTCACTGTTCTACAAAAGAAAAAAATCACTCTTCTGTATTACAAATTAAATATCGAAACAGCCAAATTGTTTGTAGCAGTTAAACGAACCGTCCTGTGAAACCTGTAATTACAGATACCTATTTTGCCTTCAGTCCCACTTAAGGTCAAAGTAATTGTCAGTTCCGGCATCAGCACGTAAGCTAGACACGTATCGGTCAATTTATGAATATCATCACATAAGATAAAAATATAAGATATAAATGCTAACTTTTGAGGACCATTTATGAACCAATAATATGCATATATTTTTATCGTATAATTGTTAACTAACTAAACTATTCATATTTCTGTCCGTCTCATTATAGGCTTTATTTTGATTTATGAACTATTATTATATGGATTACTATTCTTCATTTCAAACCAACCTGCTAATTACTGCTCCCCACGTCCACAGCCACTTCTAGCTGAATTTTGTACAAATGTTATTTTCTATCTTATGGTACGATGTGGTCAATTTGATTAATATATAAACTCAGTATGTTTAAAATACAATGATTTATACTGAAGAGGCTGAGATTGGTGTTCTGGACTTAACTGGCTGGGATAGACAGAAAGAAGAACCGACAAGTACTCTAGAATGCTTGTATGGGTTTTGTGTATCATTGATCTAACCGATAATCCGCTGCTTTATAATTGGAGTTGTCATCACGTTATACATTAACAGGGCATCCGGGCGGCCACAATTTATAACAAAGATTGTGGACAATCTAGCCACCTGAAATTAAGATACCTTAACTGAAAACTCGTAAGTTTAAATGGGTTCTTATATTCGCTTTATAATAGTACCTGTTTCTGATATTATTTGCAAGAATATCGGCAACCTAAAGACTGAAACTTTGTACAAGGGGTAGTAACGCTATGTTTGCTTAGTCTCTGGTAAACACTTCACATGAGTCTGATTTGTTTCGCTCAGTAACATGATTTGATGTCTTATATGTTTGACTGTAGAATGTAATATTAACAGCTCTATATGTGTTATAATCACTGAAAGCATATACATACTATTACAACCCTAAGTACGGTCAATATCTTCACTACTAACCTATTTTCGGCATAAAAGTAGAGCAAAACAGTGGAAACCAGTCAAAATTGCTACAACTAAAACATTAAATATTATTATGGTGTCGTCACTTGTTGCACAATTTTGGTAGCTTTGATGACAATACAGCTTCTATGACGATATATGCTTAAATCATGTTATTCCATATAAAAATAAATTAGTTGTCTTCTCTTAGTGCATAGCTAAATGAAAATAATTACCAGTCTGCGATACAAATATGAAAAAAACTATTGTTATCCTATATTCTGGAGGGATGTAAGTTCGAAACTTCTAAAAGCCCCCAACTTCGCATGTATCTATTCTCGACCATCAGTTGTATGTTGCAACGCTACCTCAACAAAGTGCGCCAAGTGTGATATTGATATTGACATGTTTCTTATGAAATCCATTTACATTCATATCTTATGAAATATCAACCCAGCTGAGTAATTTTCAACAGTGAAAATTGTAACTTCTTTAACAAGTTGATATTGCCTGTAAACCGGCAAGCCTCATGTAACAATCTGTTATTTGAGAATAAATTATTATTATTATTATTGTAGCAGCACCTGAATAGTGAGTTCTCAAGGAATTTGAGATACCATATACCGCAAAATGGAAAAACCCTTTTTCATTAAGTTTTGAGATCAACTAAAATCTATCAAATTTCCTTGTAATTAATTTCGACTTCGACTGCGCACAAAGCAAAGATAAAAGAAGTAGACATATAATTCCCATCTAGACAGCTTGATAATAAATTCGTTGAAAAGAGATCACTTTGCTGAAATTCAGGTTTTTAAAAAGTAGCGCAAACGGGTGTCGCGACATCACAGTGTAGTTATCGATGAATTTTAACGAACTCACCTAACTTTTGCGATCACATCAATCTTGTAAGGAAGATCGAAAATTTAACCCTGATGCTTAAACTTCCAGAAATGCATTGCGATGAAATTACATAATAATAAATATATTATTTTTTGTCCCAATGGGGAGAAAAATTGTATTTCTGACGTTTCATGAATTAATGTAAGCCACTTCTTCAGGGTAAATTTAGGTCCCATATTGAGTCGCTTATTTTGCTGGTACAATTAGGAGACTCATCTGGTTCAGATATGTAGATTGTCAATATTAAAAAAACCTGTTTGGAAGCATCATGAAACAGATAAACAAATTCTCAGAAAACATCAAATTCAATTTCAAGAGGGAAGATGAACATATTGAAGTACCATTTTTAGACTATTTCGTTCAAAGGAATTCTGGTGCAAGTCTAAATATTATCATATACCAAAAACTGGTGCATTCACATCGGTACGTTGATATCCATGGCTATGGATCTCTCAAGAAGAGCAGCCAAGATCATTACTTCAGAAGGAGATAAGCTGATTGAGAAAGGTAATATGACAAACATCTTACGATCTAGTAGTTTTACCAAGAATGTTATTGAAAATATAATAAAACAAAACTATTCTTCCGTAATCGAAAATTCCGATGAAAGGTCTTACATCAGTATTGTGATACTGATCCCAGACACACAACCCTTAAAGCTGAACATGAGATAACTGGGAAGATAGACATTCAACATTTAACGCGGAGAGAAGGACAAGAATGGTGACCGTGAAAATATTGATGCATTCAATAGGATTGCACTTGTTACTACTTTCATCTTATCATCCTATTGTCACTAGTTTTTGTAAATTGATATTACAGTTGAATCAAGTCTATTCGTTGTGCTAATAGAGTAGTCAACCAAGTGGTTTTCATTGAATCCTTCCACTCATCCAAACTATTCCACGAAAGCTATCACACTTCTACAGCAAACAAAGTACCTTTGGGTTATAACTGAACCCCCTGAAAAAATGAACATTACTTGTATTGACAACACCAATTGAAGTAAATATATGTCCTTTTCTACTGTGAAAAAGGAGGGTAAAGTACGCGTTTTTTAAGCCCCAGCGCTTCAAGTTGGGCTGTTTCACTTACTACCCTATATATATACGTTGTATGTATTATAAGCTATATTGCTATGAAAAGCCGAAGGTCTCTTATGAGATTGGAAGTTCGCCATTAATATTGTGGATGGTTGGGTAATACTTTGGCACGTTTTACTGACTGTTCATAAGCGAAATTGGTTTGCTGACACGGGACATTGTTTCCCCAGTAACTGCCATGATAGTTATTGCTTCTGACTATCGCATGAAACTGCCCACACGCGTTAAGAGGTAAGATTATTCATCTTCAACTGTCAGAGATGTCATTCCACTAAACTAATAGCTTGTGCGTGATAGGTGATCATCTAAAATCATCTCGTTCACAGTAGTGCAGTAGCACAACGGAAAAGCCCTGATTGGGAATGGCATCCATCTCCTATAACATTAGTCAAAAGGTAGTCGAACCTTTTTGCCCATCGTTTCATGCAGACGCGAGACATTGTTTCAGCAGTAGCTTCCATGATAGTTACTGCTCCTGACTATCATGTGAAACGGTTCACACGCGTTAAGAGGTAAGTGTATCCATCTCAATCTGGTAAGGGTCGTGCCAAATCAAGATGAATATATCCGAGATTGGATTCGAGAGTTACGGAAGAGTCTAAGGGACATTTGTTGTCCAGTCACCTTAGATTTCTAACACCTCACACGCAAGAGTGCCCACTATCTCACGTCTTTGTTCATTCCAGGTCAACAAAATCGTTTTTTCAAGAGCTTGGTGGTCGCTTGAACACCTTGATGAGAAAGCTTGCGCAACGTATTGGAAAAGTTGTGTCGATAATATCTCAGCAGGACTGAACGATCGCTACCCATAGATGTGTCACAGTGACGCTTCCTTATCTGTTCCCATCTGCTCGATCCGAGTTTTCATGGTTTTCGAAGATCAGTGTCTTCCTTTTGAAGCTGGATGATTTTTATTGAGGTTGAACCCATGGAAGCTGTTCAAGGAAATTATACAAGACAATGCGTCTGTGGCTATATTATTTGTCACAGAAACGTGTTGTATATCTCTAGTGAACTGCGAAAAGTAGTCCGGTTGTCGAGACTAGGGAGTGGAGTATTTGTCTGAAGACGAGTTAAGAAAGAATGTGAGGTTTGTGGTCAATGAACAAAGTGAATTCTCGGTCTTCCATACTGCGTCAAAATTGCTATGCAGCACAACGAATGACATGCATAATTTCCTCCTTCATTCTTAAAGAATAAGGACACTCTGAAACGTATCCAATGGCGAGCCAGGAAATCAGTTCTGAAATTAAACTTCAATTCTTGAAAAGAGCGCCTCCGATTAATGAACCTTTACAGGCGTCCTAGAGGTGACCTAATGACTTATAGCATCCTCTTAATCACCTACTTAGGCTTAGTCACAACACAAAACTTGTGAGTGACACCCAGAAATATGTGATTTAACACAACAGAAAGGATTGTAGGTCAACCCTCTACTCCTAATGAGTAGTCGAATTCTGGGATTCGCTGCCGGGTGAGCCAGTCCTAGTAAATTTCCAGGACATCTTTAAACAGTAACTCGATATATTCTTGGGGACTAAGAATAATATCTCGCTAGAAGTTTCTCTTTTTTCCTCCTTGATCGTTAAGTATACTTACGTTGTTACCTGGAGGCATCGGTGATCCACTTCTACTAGATATGGAATCCCGAAAGCTTCTACTATTCCATCCAGAACCATTTGAACCATTTGAGCTTCTTGTCGATAGTCCCATAACTCAATTAAATGTCTTGCAATGGTCTCGATAAACGTGCCAAATGTTCCAAGTGTCGTATTTAAGCGCTGTTTTAAGATCCCTCCAACTGCCGTGTCGAATTCGTCTGTTGTGATAATAACGGGTGCTTTGGTTTCATGGTGTGTGAATGTAGCTGATTTTGCGATGACCTTCTCAATTTGGGAAGGTGCCTATTCTGCGACGTCGTACAAATTCATGATTCCTGCAATTCCGCAATCTTGTTCTGTTATGGGTCTCTGTGAAGTGTCGACAAAAACTGATCAGATCATCAAATATGAGTGATTGCTTGGCTGTGGTTTGTTCTGGGTAATCCACTTTATTTTGTGGAAAACGAACACTGAAATTCAACAATATGGCTGCAATAAACGATTTTGCGATTTTGACATGAGATTTCTGAGTTTACTCAATAAGCCCTTGTTCTGTAGTCGTCCAACATCAAGGTCCAGATGCTGGGTACGAAATTCGTTGTCTGAATTTGTGACTAACGAGTAATTACAATGCGCGCTCACAGGGCTGAAAACAATGGATACACCATCGATGAGTCTCTGGGAAGTTTGTGTGGCATTTCTGAAACCGAAAGACATGCACAAAAAGTGGTAGGTCCCAGGAGGAGTGATGATAGCTGTTTCAGGAACGTCATCTTTAGTCATAGGACTTTTGTTGATCGCTTCAGTGAAGTTGATTTTCAAGTTGACAGTCGTGCCTCCCAAGGTAGCTGCCAGGTCGTAGATGTCTGTCGAGCGTTATTGATCGGATGTAGTTTTCATGTCGCATAATCGACAATTACCATTTGAACGCTAATCATTGTCCCATCTCTAGGGACCAAATGCGAAGGAGAAGCCTATGAGCTATTCGATGCACGGATACCGAACAAGTCTATCAATGCTCGAATTCGTTCCTGTCCAGTCTCAGCTTTTCAGGAGTTACTTGACGCGCTTCCGAAGATACGAATGAGCCTGTAGTCGTGATATTGTGCGCAAGATTGCTGGTTAAACGTGGTAGTTTCCGCCGTGTTTTGTGAAGTTCATGGTACTTGTCTGGTGAACGTTGGGAGTTTGGATCGATAATACGTTTTACCGCAACCGGTCATAACCGGTAACCAGAAAACGAAGTCCCACAAATAGGTGACTTGATAGTTGCATCTACTAGCCTCCGTTTGCTTGTTAAAGTGGTTAGATTATAGTGCTGTATCAGATATATACCAATGACTGGCATAGAAATTTTTTCGAAGACGAAAATCCAGTGTCAGAACAAATGCATATCTGACGGCTGGTGGCGATCAGTTTTCCATTTGAACCTGTAAACTGAAGACCAGACTCTGTAAATGACCTTTAGTATTTGCGGGAAGGAAGCAGACTTCTGCTCCGTTGTCGACGAGGTAGCGAACTTTCAGTCACCACATCAATGATGTATGAAAATGACTATTTCTACGGGCCGTTGTTGCCGTTAACGCGTTTCCGTAAGGATATTTTCCTGAGGGTTTGTTATGACAGAAGGTTTGGCTTTGAGGGAACCTCAAAGTTTTCTGTAATTTCCATGGGACTTAGCATACTTGTTGTGGTGACGACACTAGTCATGATTATCTGCCTCTCGTGGTCTAGAAACAGATTTACTTCGTGACGGGTTTCCTTGAGGAGCCTTGGAGCGTTCGAGTTTAAGATGAATATTAGGGTATAGGGTGAGAGTATGACAGGGATCTGTAAAGTCATTTCGTGTCGTTTGAAAGCCTTTCTTCGACAGAATAAATCCCGGTGCTGGGGGTTCTAGTGATTTTTAGGATACTATCGGAAGGTCCAGCCAGTTCGCCGACGGCGTTGTTATGAAATGCGACGAGAACCGCTCGCAACTGTTAGAGAAGCTTGGATGAAAAGAATTGTTTGAAGTAGCCATCCTCGAAAGTCCGTTGATGAGCTGCGTTATGATTCGATATTGTAGAAGAGCTGATCTAACCTTTATCTACCGTTTATATCTCCTCGTTTGGGGGTAGCTTACGTTAAGGTTTTGTGGGAACAGTTAAAAAAGACTTAGTTGGAGTTAGTTTTGGTTACTACTATCATTCTTCACCAGTTCACATAATTTATACAATTAACGGTATCGACTGGAAAGTTTTCGTTTAAAAAACATGACCTTTTACCTCCCGTTTCGTTTTTTGAACATACAAAACGTGACCCATTGATTGTCGCACAAAAATGCACTACATCCTACATAGGCTATTTTAGTTTCCGGATAGACGAACCGATTCATTCTTCTCAAACCACAATTTGACCTTGTCACTTAATGGCTTACCACCTTGTTTTTATATGATTGTATGTATCTTAATTACTTGCTGTATTCATTGTGTATCTGTAACTTATTTTTGGTCTGACTATAAGAACTGAGTAAAGCTTGATTAAACTGAGTCGGTTCACTTATCTTTTTCGATCCACTTTTCTCCCCCTCTTCGTTTCATATCCCTGATTGTTTATTCAAATGAGCGAGTACATGAAATATACATATTCAGAATTCATTCTCTTATTTGGCTTATTTAATTCATTTATTGACTAATGTGGATCAAAGTGATAATTATATATGAGGGAAGCTGGAATGCATCTTTCGAAAGCAATCAGCAAACGATCGAATTGAAATCAGATAAAGGGTTCATTGAAGTATGATGAGGTTCAGAAACATCACTAGTAAGCATACTTAGAGTGGCATACCTATTAAAATCGCGCGGCGCCGCCTTCACTACTGCTAGGAATCACTCATGTGTCTATCACGTCACGCTTGTGGAAGTCAGCTTCTGAGTAGTAGAATCAGGCTTCCATATAATCAGGTCAGAGTAGTATGAGTTGAGACGTGGGAGACCTAATAATTAACATTACCGGTGTTTGTTTTGTCATTATGAAGTTAAAATATCTAAACTGGTGAAAAAAAGATAGGATACGAAAACAATATCACGTCACACAAGAATAAAACAATGATGTATAATGCTACAACTAGGAACAGACAGATTATTGTTTGGTGCGCCAGATAATGTCAAGCGCACCACCAAAGACGCTAGAGATATTCAGGGTTTGATAAAACTTTCATCTGTTACACCATTAGAAACGAAGGATATCAGCCCAGTCAAATAAGTCCGGGATGAGTTCAAAGATGAAGTTTCAAGGTATTCCATATACTGAGAGGCGTGTGATCTAAGCTAGCTGGTGGTTGCAAAAGATGTGTACTACGACGTACCCACTCGTGGTCTGGTACGGGTGTGTGACCTAGCGCCTTCGGTTGGGCTGTGTCCAGTTAAACTAATGCGGTCAGCATCAATGTTGAAGACTTACAGGACCGTTTATTTAGGGGATATATTTACCACTACAAATACATTGGTCATCCCAAAAGTTTTGTTCTATAGAATATTTGAACTTCGGGATATGAATAGTTGGAGTTGTATCAGTTGTGTTGCATGCACTTATTTTACAATCACTGGTCTTACTTCACAAATTATCCTAACTATTTAATGCGACAGTCAAACTATGTTTCCCGAAAATCTGAAATACACGATGTTCGGTTGAGTGTTTTTGACTCCTCAGTTTGTCTCTCACTTACCCAGTATGAGATGGTTAGGACTTCAAAGGCTATATACTGGATGTTGATCAGTACTTCTTGAATCACACCAACTTATATATGGATAAATTATTAGATTTGCTTGAGTAGTTTGTCAGTAAACATAAGTTGTGGTAATACGGCTGTTTTTGTCATGGACTGTCGAAGAAGAAAAGGAAAAACATTACCGAATGAACATTATGAGCATTGGATATTGATTCACGGCATTGGATGTTGGACTAATTATGTTCACCCTAATAGTTCAGTTTTAGATAGAAATAAATACAATTTTGCTATTTTACGACATCTGACCGATGCCACATGGATGTTAACGCTTATCTGACAAGTCCCGAACGGTCATGATTATACGTTGTTTGATTATACTCCTTCGCATTTTGTAGTATATTTTGGCAATGTCTACATGTAGCAAACTCTATTCAATATTAAAATCACCTGATAAATTAAAAATACCATCTGTTGACTCTCATATGGATAAAAATCCCGTTGTCCCAGCTAAACGTCTACATACGGAGGGTATTCTGTGGCAATGTTGGGAATGTGGGAAATCGTACGAAACTGGGTTTCGCCTTTCAGAACACCTTCAAAATTGCAAGAAAGACGATGAAGTTTGTGAACAACTACCTGGTTGCCCTTTCTGTCCTCGTGTAATTAATCAGTCAAATGATGCTCCTTTTCATATCCATTCATTCAACACTCATGTACATAGATTTCATCCAGAAATCAAGTCTTATATGTGCAGCTATTGTTTGAATTTGATTCAATCGTGTAAAATCGAAGATTTAGTATCTCATATCATTAACATTCATAAAATACCTTGGAGGCCATCGCCAGGTAAATTGGTATTTTTAATGTATGTCTAATTTGATTTCTGTAAAACTACCTCATGCTAATGTTTACTTATTGCTTCACTAATCTTAGCTGTTACTGACTGTGTTAGCTTACTTAAAAATCAGTATGGAGTACTTATTTGTAGTGTATTCATTAGGTAAAAAGAAAACTGATCAGAAATCCGACAATTTTATACCAACCCAATACTTTGAAATTTCTGAGGATTGTCAGGATTTTTATTGGTTATCAGACTGTTAATAGTTTCCAAAAAGTCAAGAGATGGGATTTAATTCACTTTTAAAAACAAATATCATAAAATCACACTTTGTGTGGTCTTATGGCTTGTTTGTTCCTGTACATGACAGTGGAAATGCTTAAGAGTCGTATCTAAGCCAAAAGTGTATTTTACCAAGCATAATTTGTATAGTTAAATAACAACTCCGTATATTACCTAGGCTAACTCCGTTCATGTGACAGCGGTAATAAGAAGCTAAAAACGGGTTTCATTGAATGAATTTATTTCAAACACTCGTTTATCCAGACACACTCCGAATTAGAAGCGGGGAAGCAAATCATAGCTGAGAATGCCAGTGAGTCAACTCGATTTGATCAAGCGTGACATGATATTTATAATCTGACAAAAATAAGTTGAACACGTAATGAATAGGATCAGCAAATATTGCATACGCCCATGTAAAAAGTTAATAAGCAAACAATTAACTTACTCAAAATGTGGCTCAAGAGTGAATAAACTGGTCTGTCCGGAAGCTAGGTTAACCCATGTGGGTTTAATATGGTACTAGACTTTGCACCACTATGTCGCACGCTCAAGCCGTGCTCCACTTATTTCAGCTAGGGCAACTTAGTAGTTTCATACATAGTGTAGTTCAGAGCCTAGTTCATGAATTTTACCTGGTAAATTAGCTAGAATGTATACTAAGAATTTCATATTGCACTAAGCATATAGTATATATAGCAATTTTGTCATTAATAATGATGTATTGTTCATACTAAATATGGTTGTTTATAAAGTAAACTGAACGACCAATCGTTAATAAATATGAAATAGTAAATCTTATTGCTCTACTGATGCTAGGGCCAACCTAGTATAAAGCAAGCTCTAAAATCGTCCTGTATTTCCAAGGAATATGGTTAGTTTTTTGCCTTCATAATTATTAGGATAAAAAGTAGAAAATGTTTTAGTTTTAGTTTCAGTCGTTTTTTGTGTGCACGATTGTCAGTGTTTATTACTTACTGAGTCTTCTCATAACTTTCGTAGTGCACTTAAAAAATATACCACACAACTTTTCTTCTACGCCACCATAATTTTCACTTCTTTGCCTTTCTGTTGCTGGGATCACTGATATCAGGATATACTGCAGAAGCAGTGATCCACAGTCTGGAAACCTCTACCTTACCAATGATCAAGCCGAAAACATGAATTCATTTTGTGGACAACACATTCGTCACAGTCAAAAGGAACAAATGGAAAACACCTACATCTCACCTACAATGTCTTCCAGGACATAAAAACTCACAATCGTAAACCAGTCGAACAACAAACTATAGTTCTTCAATGTACCAATCACCAGAACTGACACAGAAAAACTAGAGATTCAAGTATATCGGACACCAAAATACATCGAAATTTCAAATACAATATCAAAAAACCAACAAGTCTCTAAATCAACTGCCCACAAACTTCATTCTAGAGGGTGAGAACACAATGCAGCACACTTACAGCAAGAAAAAATGAAGAAAAATATTGGATGCCTATTCTTCAAAAGAATCGATACCCACAAAACTTCAACAAAAATTACCAATCCAGTGCATCAGCAGAAAACAAATCAAGTACACCAATCAACAAACGGATCATATTACAACGCACAAGAGACATATCAGAAATTACAACGAGATTATTAAAGCCCTTTGGAATAGGTGTCACTGACAAGTGGACTGGGCTATGTTGGTAGGTGTAGACTACCTGGTTGGGATTCGCGAGATGACAGCAACCGATGGTTAGAGACCTTGAACGACATGGCTCAAAATCGTTTGCAATGGCGAAGATGCATCCACTCTTTGTGTTATACCAAATTCTAATCTTCTGAATTCCTCATGTTTTTATCTTTTTCTCTTTCCAAATTTATTTCACTGTACTATACTCCTTCAATAATTTCTTCAAACCCTAATCTTTTGGATTTCTGATTATACTCCTACTACTTCTACCACTATGGGATTTGAATGGACCACTGCATCTCTGTGCTAATGTGGTATGGCAACTCGAACTGATATACGTACGTACGAAGTTCTACGTTGTGACTGACTGACTGACTTGGAATAGGTGTAGCATGCAAACCAGCGAAATCACTTCAATCAATCCTATCCAAATTAAAGGACAAATTGACAAAAGAAGAAAAACCGAACACCACTTACACAATAAACTGTTCACACTGAAGAAAACAGTACATCGGACGAAGTGAACCCCACCACTTCGTCTGAATTAACATCAATTACCGGTCAAATGCCATGCTATCACATAGATTCGCTTATATAAATGCACGTAAAGATATATTCGACTGGAAAAATGTTGAGATCTTCGATAGAGGAAATACTAAAAACACCGAAGAAGTTTGAGAAGTTTGGCACTAAGCTCAATCAACAAACACATTGAAATCGATTCAATCTATTAAGCAATCAGAGAAATTGTCGACAAATATAGGACCAAGAATCAAATCAAGGAGAGACACAATCGGAATAAAGAGGTAGACAACGACGGATCAAAGGTCAACGATAACTAATCAAGATCATGGTCGATAGGACAAGTTATGAATAATAAGTGTACAGATTCGGACAATTAACTCCTACCTGAAGTTTGTGCTGAGAATGTTATTGAGAAGAACAACGATAGCTTCCCGACCAAAACATCCAGCTCAGGGAATAAAACTACACCTGAATCAACCACTTGAGCTAAAAATTTCCATAGCGTTAAAATATATTAGCCAACTCCTCGGTTTTCTCACCTCCATTTGATACTCCATTCAGAAGCATTACAATCAGTCCTACACTCTACGCTTCGTGGTTTAATTACTTTAATCGAGATTTATTTGATTTCATCACTCTACAAAGTGGTGTTGATTTCTAGAGTTCCAGTTGCACTAGTACTGTTCGTTTGTCATAAAGCTACCTGGCTGATTATCTTACTATACACATTCCTCATAAGGTGTCTTGCGTATTTGTCACTATCAGAAGTTTGTGTCTACAATAATGGTATCATATCCAAAAAATAATATGAGTATATATGTATCATCTTACATTCATCTGACTGTATAAATATTTTTACGACTGAATAGTTTTCACTGGGTAAATGTTTACTTCTAATAATAATGATTTCATGAAACTCAATTCATTTCATTATCTTATTTTTAATTTGTAGCTTCTCTTGCACATTTACGAGAAAATCAACTTCCTCATCGAGTTGTTACTTGTTTAGGATGTGGATGGTGCACGTTTGTTTTACGTGCTAATAATGCAGCACAACCACCTACCTCTTTAGAAACTCATATGAATCGATGTTCATTTAATGGTGGTCAAGTTCATCTAACGCGTTTATCTGAAGAAACTTGTATGTCTACATTAGAAAAGTATAAAGTTTTACAAGAATCAGAACTGATTAGTACCACATTTGCACGATCCTTTCCACATGTACGAGGATTTACCGGTAATTCTGGATTAAGTAATAGTCCATTTCGTTTTCATCGTTATTCTGGTAACACTGCATCTCGTGTGAGTTCTTTTATAAAATATGTTTTTATTATTAGTTAAAACTAATTACTTCATGATATATGTAAAATAAAGTCTGCACATGTTGTATCTACTACGTGGAGCGAGGATTCAGTTGTTATGGGGTTCAACTCTCAGTTATTAAGCCACAGGTTCGAACCCCGCTCTGAGGAACTGGTGTAGTACAACAAGCTGATACATTTACAGTGTGACTTGAAGCCAAGTACACTTATATATACCTGTCTAGTGAATACTCAATACAATCCATATCTGCTCTATGAATATTATTCTTTTGGTGGTGTTCAGTTCTCTGAGCTAGATGGTTTCATTACGTAGCTTTCATTGTTATTCTGAGGAACATTTTCAGCATCTACTTCATTTAGAAGGAAAGTAATTACCCAAGATGTTGTTTAGAATGACAATGAAAGCTTCGTAACTAAACCATACAGCTCAGGGAACTCAATTTCAAAAGTATCCTTCAGGTTACAAGATTTCTTTATTATTTCAATAATATTAATCTAAATGTACCTCCATATCACTAGAGTACTTCCATTCTTAATAATATTATGAAGAAAGAGCATCTTGTGCTGATGTGGAATGGTTAGAGACTTTGGATGACATTGACGAGAATCCTTTTCAATGGCACGTGTGCATCCACTCTTTGTCTCTTCCCAAATTCTGAATTCCTTGTAAACTTCTTTGTTTTCACTTATTTATATTTTCTTTTTGAGTTGTATCTTCGATGTCCAATCTTTCCTATTGCCATTAATACTATTACTACCTCGATCTGACAACTTCATCTTGGTATGCTAATGGGGTATGGCCACTTGAATCGATGTAAATACGTACAGATTCTACGTTGTGTATGACTGCTGACGTGGTATGACAACATGAGCTAAAGTCAGTGATTGCATGGACTATTGTCGTGGTTTATTTACCCTAGCTTTCTGTTAATCTACTTCTACACCAGGAATCGTCATGCATAGAGGGAGGTGATAGTTAAGCATAAGTAATAACGAGTTTGAATGTGGTTATTGGATCATATTAACCTATTTCTTTACTATCATTTAAAATATTGATCAAAATCTACGTCTTGAATGAAACTAAGAGATCCTGACTATATTTTAGCCAAATCTAATCTCAGTAAATAGGAAATTTAGTATCTAGAAGATTATTCCCAGCTCTTCTATGCATTACATCCATGAAGTCACTGACAATTGAACTGAGCCATGTTGGTAGATGTAGACTACCTGGTTGAGATCCGCGAGACGAGAGCAACCGATCGTTAGAGACCTTGAATGACATGGCTCAAGATCGTTTGCAGTGGCGAAGATGCATCTACTCTTTGTGTTCTCCCAAATTCTAATCTTCTGAATTCTTCATGTCTCTTTCTTTTTTTTCTTTTCCGAATTTATTTCACTGGATTATACTCCTTCAATAAAATCTTCAAACTCTAATCTTTCACATAATGCTTATACTCTTACTACCACTATGGGATTCGAATCGACAACTTCATCTCTGTGCTAATGTGGTATGGCAACTCGAACTGATGTACGTACGTACGAAGTTCTACGTTGTGACTGACTGACTGATTATCTACCTTACTTCAAGCGTGTCTCATACTCAAGTACCTGTTAAATGGGTTAATTTAACTTGTCATTTATCATTACATACACATAATATCTTGTGTTTGTTACTCTTTTGATAACTTTGATTTTGGTTTTATTTACAATAGGCAACGGATAATGATGATAAAGCATCAAATACTATCAGCAATAAAATCAGTCGTCTCTCTACCGATCATAATAATGATAAATTATCAAACAAACAAAAATCTAAATTGGAAACTGTTTTAGAAAAGTCAGATTTTCAACAAAAAGAAACATTTTTTGATATTCCGTTGACTATTCCACCTCCACCTCCATCATCACGTACTACTACTGGTCAAATAAAGAAAAAACCAACTGTTGGTCGTTTATTTGTATGTCCATTATGTGGAGATAATGCATTGTCTAGTTTACGTGAACGTGATGAACATTTACAATCTTCACATAATGGTGAACTTGTTTTCCCATGTCAGGTTTGCAAATTATTTTGTTATATATTTTTATTTATTTATTTAAACATATAAATATTAGTATAAGAAAGCACCAGATACATATGCGCCACACAAATCTCAATTGATTTGTGTGAGGGCTGTGATACTGCCCAGGTGCCCAAACTGAAGCAGGTGGTTTTCATAAGGGGCCACACCCGGAGCCTTCGACCTAAAGATTTGATCCACAAGACAGTGGAGCATCGTAAGGAGATGCAGTCCCATGGTAGCCGGTGACCAACGATTGATTCATACGCCATTTGTTCCCTCAGAATACTGGAGCCCATGTGCACCATTGGTTTGGAATTGTGGTTTTCCAACTCCCCTAGATGGACGCGCCGTGTCCACCAAATGCGGCTAAAGCGCTGGACATTCGCTTTTCGTCCTCTCAATTTTGTGAACAACACCCCCGCCACGAGAAGGCAGTGAGTAGGACTTCCCTGTCAGAGGCTATACATTCGCGTGGCCATATGAGAGCATTTGGAGAGGGAGAGCGAACTCTCTCCTCTCTGGGCCGTACCAGGGTATTTGGGGGCTTTGTTTAAAATCATAGATGTTCGCATATAACCTAACTATTTGTATTCAGTGGAACTTCTTGCTTCATTAACTACGCAAATTTGTCTGGTGGCCATCTTTATGATAATTTTTATTTGGATTATCCAAAGAAACTGTATTTATTAACATCTCATATAATAATGACTTCATTAGAAGCCCCTTATTTACAATCGATTAATCATTGAGTAATGACCAGCCTCATGTATTTCAAATAATTAGTGCTGATTGGATTCTATCGATCAAGTTGCACTGACTCGATATCGCGCGCACCTTGTTGATATTTAAGGTGGCGTTCTACAGAATATCCTACATAACCTGGGTTTCGTGTTATCTGGCACACCTCAGTAAGGTATATCTGTAATATTAAGGGGACTAATGTTCTCTAGCGTATTCGATCCCGTGTCACTTAGCATCACAGTGAGAGACGTTCCCACTGAGTTATTCAACCGGGATTGACCTCCTTCAGAATTGAGATGTATTTACGACTGGTTGATCACTGAGTATTAGCCATTGTCATCAATGTCAAGTCATTCTTAATGCTGATCGAGTTTTGTTGTTTCCAAGGTATACTGTCTTTACTCGCCAAAAACAAATAAAATACTAGACACCTTAATTAACTTCACGATAACCTTCATCTGTTTTTATTTTTAGAAGATTACTTTCTATTTCTACGCTTCTGTATGCGGTTTTTTAATCGTATTCTTTCCTATGTGTTAGCATTATTGAACATTCATTCTACGTATTCATTGTCATGCCTGTTTACCAATGCTTTCAATTTGATTCATATAGTAGCTATTATTCTTTTGTAAAATTCATATCTCATCTATGAAGGAATAAGTGATGAATCTACCATAAACTTGCGTGCTTTTGTCTTTTCTTAAATGTTGTATTTCTATCCTCTACTTCTTCCTAAAAAGATCCTTGCCATTCTTCATCTGCAAGTATTCAGATTAACGTTGCTGATAGTTTTTCAATGTTCAAGTTTTCCGTTAATGTCGTCTCCCATTATACTCACCCATCTATGGACATCTGAGAACTCTACGGAACGTAGAGCAACATCACAAAATACTTACTAATTGGATTTATACACCATTTATTTTTGTAGGATAATGGAGCTCATTTACATGTCTGGCTTAATAATCCAAGCTTTTTAAGTTCTTTAGAAACTCATTATTCAACAACTTAATTTAATCACTGACTTCCTGCATTTGTTGTCTTGAGATAAGTTAGAACTTCTGTACAAGAGATTATAAATGTTCAACTCTGTTAATCATTCAAATAATCTATACCCTATAGGATTTATTCATGTACTTCCATATTTCATATTCTGTCAATCAAATTTCACTCACAACAATACACTACAAACTTGTCTACTGAAATATGTAGAAGAAAAACCCCATTGCACAAGGAAGTGGCTATAAGGACTCAGTAGCTAAATGGATAACGCGATGGGGTTTGAAGGGAACGGTACTGGGTTCGAGTTCCAGAGTGAACATCAACTCTGAGGTTCAGGGACATCCAGCTGACGAGTCCCAAATAGGACAAAACACGCGTCCTGAATTCCACTGCTCACTACTATCCATATTTGCTTGTTAACTTATCAGTTTTGTCTGAAAATAAATTCTAGTCAAACTGAATAGTTGAGTGTATGATTATGTTAAACTCTTGATTTCTCATATTTCAATCTAATTTGTTCTATAATTAACTGATATAATGCCCTAATTATCCAAGTTCTACCAAATGTTTACTAAAGTTGTTTTCTATATCAGATTATAATTTGAGAATTAAACAAGATTTCTTTGAATGATTATTTTATTTAAACATAAATATTGGTACAAAGGGGCGCCAGATATATATGCGCTGCACAGATCTCATTTGATTTGTGTGAGGGGTGTGATATCGCTCAGGTGCCCAAACTGAAGCAGGTGGTTTTCTTAGGGGACCACACTCGGAGCCTTTGATCTAAAGATCTGATCGACAAGGTAGTGGAGCATGGGGGGAGATGCGGTTCCATGGTAGCCGGTGACTAACAATAAGTTCATACACCATTTGTTCCCTCAGGGTACTGTATACGCGTGACCGTGTGAGGGCATTTCGAGAGGGAGGGTGGCCCCTCCCCACTCTCGGCCGTACCAGGGCATTTGGGGGCCTTTGAATGATTAAGTTGTTTTCCGAAGTTTCTCCCTTTATATCTATATATTAGCTATTCACATGAACACTATGAGTTAACTTCACATTTTGTGTGTATTTATGCATCACTCAATTAATATATATATTTTTTGTGTAACCATAACAAAAATAGATTTGTGGAATGGCTTATCCTCTTTACATCGCTCTACGTCGACATGCTGCACTTCAACATGATTCTGACTTTGATACAGTTCGTTATGGTCCATCAGATCTATTGGAATGTGAACCAATCGAATGTCCAGAATGTCATCTTGTAGCTTTTCAAGATTCACTTGTATTAAAACTTCACATTAATCGAGTACATAAGAAATTACAACAAAGTTTAACACCTACTTCTAATGATTCTCAACCAGTTGAAGGTAGGTTATTATTATTATTCCTTTAGTAATATCGTAGTCTTGTGTGTCTTATCTTGGAAGTCTGATCATTCCTAATGGGTCGGTGTCTGACGAAATCTCAGCACAGATTCAAAAAACGCGTTTAGCTTTTGCCAACTTACGTCACCTATCCGTCTATCAATTAAAGGACGAGTATACTGCGCAGCAGTTCGCTCTGTTCTACTTTATAACTGACTGCGAAACGTGGCCATTATGAATAGAAGATATTCATAAGTTACTAGTATTTGACCACATATGCCTTAGAAATGTTGCTCGCATCTGCTGGTATCACCAGGTAACTAGTAGTGAGGTTAGAAGCAGGGTATTATGGAATGATGGTAAATCAGTTGACGAGGTCATGAATCTTCGTCGACTGAGATGGTTGAGCCAGATGCTACATATGCCTGAACACCTATTACCACGACGTGCAATGCTGACTAGTATTGGGGATGGTTGGAAAAGAGTCAAGGGCGGACAAACCAATCCGTGTCACCAGTCCTCGAAGTCACTAACTTCTAGTCTGAGCCATGTTGGTAGATGCAGACTACCTAGTTGGGGTCCGTTTGACTATCTTAACCAATGATTGGAGACTGTGTGCTGTGACATGGCTCAGAATCGACCACAATGGCGTAGGTGCATACACTCTTTATGTTCCCTAAAACCTTGAGATTAAAATTGCTTCATATCTGTCTTTCTTCTTGGCTATATGCTTATATACAACTTTTCTTTTATATATTACCACCACTAAATTAACTACTATGAATTCGGTGTTCATCTTGTTGTGCTAATGAGGTATGGCAACTTGGACCGGTGCATATATGTGCCTGGTCCTACGTTGTAGCTGACTGACTGACTGAGTCATAGTATGTTGTCTTTATACAAATTTGCATTACGGACTTGCTTCTTTAGTCTGTAAATGTTCTTTCTGTTGTGGGGTTCATCAAAAATCGGTCAGGATAAATTATAGTCCAACCTTTCGCATTGTGTGCGTCAACAAAATAAAGTGAAATGAACGAAATCTATAGCGTAAGAGTCGAAATATAAGTAGGGTATATGGTTGTGAAAAATGATTAAATAATATAGAATGGGACTTGAAAAGAAGTGATCCGTTGCCAGAATGTAGAATATCAAATAATATTGAAACATGAAAGATAAATAATGAATGTGTGTCATCGATTTTGAATTATATTGGTTAATCTCTTCAGTCCTTCAAACAGGATTATGATTAGGATTGTTGTCAGTCAATCGTTTTACTCGTCGATTTAAATGGTAATTAAGGACGTATAATATATGCCACGTTGCCGTCTCAATTGATGGAGGGTTAAAAATGCTAACTTCGATTTTCGGGTATGGTTAAAGGTTAGTTATTTCAGCCACGCACATACGTGCGCGCGCGACCGGTCATCTTTCTAAAACCGTTTATTCCAGGTATTGTTGCAGTTGAGCATGATACTAGTATTGCGATTGAGTTTAAATATGACATAAACGTATCCTTCGAAGAAAATCCAACCACCACTACTACAAATGAACAATATTGGGGTTAAGAATGGGGTACTGGGCAAATCAGTTGATGGAATTGTGAATCCTCATTAGTCGAACTGATTAGGATGTATGTTACATATCCGTAGCTACCTCCTACCTTTACGTGCAATGTTGGCTGGCGTAGCATTAAGTTGGAAGAGAGTTAGGAGTGACCAAACCAGTTCAAACTCAGTTCATAAAGTCGTGGGCTATCGATCTGAGCAATGTTGCTAGATACAGACTGCCTTGTCATGGGTCCGCGCGACAACCGCAATTAGTATTTGGAGATGATGAGTGAAATGAAATAACTGACTGTTATGACATTAGTTAGATACCTATTTGTTACTTATAAATCAAATTAACTCACGTAGGGAGGTCTATTTCGGAAATCGTTTTCACTGGAGACTAGCCTTCGTTGGGGAACTTGAAATTTGAGAAACACTATTATACCATTACTTTCTCGTAGTTCGAGACATCTCAACAATATATATATATATATATATATATATATATAAGCTCCGATCCCGTAGATCTTATAGCAAATATTATATTATCATCCGGCTATTGAGATAAATGAGATCACGTAATCTATGCTTATCCTACTCTCAGTCAATCTGTAATACAAGACCATCTTTATCTGCATAAGTTGTGTTGTTAACTACTAACTAGCTCAATTTTGATATGTATAATGAATATATCATCTGTTAGCCAGTTCCTACTAACATAAATTCACTTAGTATTGTTTGTTTGAATCTTCCCATTGATGTTCAGGACTGCATCTGGTCAGTCTTTTATTGGCATATGTGCATACTGTGCGTATTGCCTCGATATAACCTTAATTCACAAACATTGTAAGCGGAGATGGATAGTGACTAACAGTGGAATCCAGGACGCGTGTTTCGTCTTATTTAAGACTCGTCATCTGGATGTACCTGCATCTCAGAGTTGATGTTCTTTCTGGGACTCGAACCCAGTACTGATCTCTCCAAACGCCATCACGTTATCCACTTAGCTACTGAGTCCTGATAGCCACTTGCTTGTGCAATGGGGTGAAGTTTAAATTCACTTGGTATTGTTTGTTTTGAATCTTTCTATTGATGTTTAGGACTGCAATTGATCAGTCTCTTATTCGCATATGTGTATACTGTGCGTATTGCCTTGATATAGCATTATAAGCAAAGATGGACTCAGTAGCTGAGTGGATAACGCGATGGCGTTTGAAGCGAATGATACTGAGTTCGAATCCCAGAGTGAACATCAACTCTGAATTGCATTTACATCCAGTTGACGAGTCCCAAATGAGACGAAACGCGCGTCAAACTGGATTCCACTGCTAGCGACTATCCATCTCCGCCTACAATTACCGACATAAAGCTTAATATTAATGATTGATTAACAGTAAATAAATATAAAAGTAACTCTTTTGTTGTTTATATCTAGTTAGTGATAATTATTATTGTGTTTACAAGATGCAGCCTTTTTAATTCATATTCTGTGTATGTTAAATAAACAATCGATATTTTCATGCTGGCGTAAATAATGATTGTTTAATAATAATGGTAACAATAAAATTGAGACAATGTCTCCATAATTAATTAAATGTGTGTGTGTGATCACACATACATAGGGAGGAGCAATCGTGATCTGAAAATTAGGGTGGGTGAACATATACAAAAATGGTTGCAAAAATAAATAGAATCAAATGACCCAATAAGAGTAGAGGTCGGGCTTGCCTATCGTAATGAACCAACCGAGCTTTATTGGCTGGAACGCATGTTCCTGTATGTTCTACTATGCCAGACAGGTTGATTGGAGAATGGTAAGACTAAAAGCAGCAACTCAAGGTCTGAGAGTGAAGTCGTACTGCTGACTGTAGAGGGGTGGGACAGCATTAAGGTGTTTCCCTCGGACAACCAGCGTGACAGCAACGCTGCATTCTCACAAGGAAGGAAGGGGTTAGAAAAGGTTGACCCTAAAAATGTCACGCCTCATCTTACCTCACGGACTTCCGTCTCCAGAGGTAAGGCCTTTCGAGGAACAGCTAGCACGTCGAAAATCCCCCACAAAAAGGCCGGCCTCAAGCAGTTATCCCTTAGACTCTGTGGTCACGCTCCCAGGTCGTTAAGACCAACATTAATCCAGCTTCCTTTTCAGGTCCCTCAAGAAATACCCTTCCGCAGTGTTGGCAGCCGGGAAGTGATATTAGCACTCATACCCGTAAATGCACATAACAACACACTGAAAAAAACTCGTGGAGCACGAGATGTGGGGTATGATCTGTACCCGACTTATTAATCCTCCCGTAGCAACTTTGAAAATATTATGTGTATAAAAATAGTCTTATTCCTGTCTCAGTTCAGTATAATTAGCAGTACGACTTTATTTCCAAACTTGATATTTATTGCTTTGCAATCGATCTAATCCACAGTTAACAATAGGACTTCAAGGAACAAGTATTCCAGTCAATATAACTTACCCTATTGCCACTGTAAGCAAACTTGATTCATTCACGAAAAATCGCATAATAACATTATTGAAATGTACTATTTCTGTATATCATTATTATTATTTATTATTACAGATATAGAAGTATCATCAAAACCGCCGAAAATTAGCAAAACCAAATCTACAAATCCTTCAATTCAAAAAAAGACTTCCATAAAAACTACTCGACGTCGTGACGCTACTCCTACAGTAAATCGTTCACGAACTCAATCAAAAATTAATAAACCTAAAGTTAAACATAAATTATCTATTATTGGCGGTGAATCAGATATTCTCACTGATAGTACTACTACTAATAATAATAATCCTAACCCTGTATCATTACAAGATACTAATAGTAGTGAATTTGAACGTATGTTAAGTTCAATTGATGGTAAATCTGCTCCAGCTTCATGTCGATATTGTCATATTGAAGTGGATAATTTAAAAGAATTACATCTTCATTTGGAATTGGTAAGTTTATTATTATTATTAATGAATGGTTTGTAATCAAAATAAATTGATGTATATTTTATCAGAAGGGTTTTTTGTGGAGATTTAGTATTTTCATAGTTGAAAGCGTGAGTTAATTGAAGCTAGACCACCAGGAAAAACGTGGAAGCACTGGACAGCCGTTTCGTCTCATTGTGGGACTCCTCGCCTCGCAAGATTAGAGCCCAGGACCTACCAGTCTCGCGCCAGAGCACTTAACTGATATACCACTGAGCCGGCATCCGATGATGTTTATGTCTAACTGCTGAGGAGTCCCACAATAGGACGAAACGGCCGTCCAGTGCTTCCAGGTTTTACCTGGTGGTCTAACTTCAATTAACTTACGCTTTCAACTATAATGTATAGTTATTTAGAAATCAAAATTTAATAAACTATTGGGTATATAATGAGTATGACGAGTGGTTAGATGTGAAAATCCATTGCTAGTTTGCATTACTTATGACGTAAACGAGATATCTCATCCAAATGGGATTGTGTACTGCACAGTAGTCTGGTTTATTTCACTTTATGACTGTGAAAAGTAGTTCATTAAAGTAGAAGAAACGTGTAATCTAAAGGTTCTTGATCGTAGGTGTTTTTGAAACATTGCTGATGTTTTATTAGATGACTAAATGAGTAAGTTTGATGTAGAGTATTAGGTGAACGTGGCAAATTCTTTAATAAGGTAGTAGATATTTGTTAAGTACGATGGTCGATAAATGTATTTTCCAAGTATCGTATACTTTGACTTGGGATATTGGTTGATCTACAAGTAGATTGAGAGAAATGTGCGAGTGAATAAGCCTAGGCGTCACATCAGTCCTTGAGTTCATTGACTGTTAGTCTGAGTTGTGTTCATAGCTAGAAAACGTTTGGTGTCGCACTTAAAAATTAATCCTAGACCTCCAGATGTATTTACTTTCCGCCTTCTCCTAAATCTTGAGCTTCAAATATTACCGTCTTGAATTGAACTTCAGTAATGGTCTCTGTTTCCAAGTATAGATTATATTGCACTTGTTTTACAATAGTTTGATTGTTTAATTTTTTTTACATTTTTAGGAACATTTAAATCCTGATAATGATATTGAACAACTTGGTTGTCAAGCATGTGGTCGTGTTTTCTTTGGATCAGGTGGTCGAATTGATTTAATTGGACATTTACGTACATTACATCAAGATGACTTTCTTCAAAATGTTTTAAAATGTCCACGTGCTGAAAAATTAGGACAAGATAATGCTAACATTGGTAATGATAATCATACTTGTCATGAATCTACAAAATCATGTAAAGCACATTTCTCATCACCACGTCTACGTCAATTACATATTTCTATGACTAACAATACTACTACTACTAATAATAATAGTAGTATATTGTCCAATTCACAATTTTCATGTCCTATTCTATTTAATGATAAAAAATATTTATCTGATCAAATTAAAAATTTAATATTACATACAGAAATTGCAGCAGATCAAAGTGGTATTATAATATTAGCATATTGTTGTCCAAATTGTTCACGTATATTTGTTGGTGATAATGTGCATACTAGGTAAGTAAATCAGTAATAGTAGTATTAGTTGTTGTTGTTGTTGTTAACGTCGAACTTCGTATGTACGTACGTACATCAGTTCGAGTTGCCATACCACATTAGTACAGAGATGCAGTTGTCGATTCAAATCTCATAGTGGTAGAAGTAGTAAGAGTATAAACAGTAATCAGAAAGATTAGGGTTTGAAGAAATTATTGAAGGAGTATAGTACAGTGAAATAAATTTGGAAAGAGAAAAACATAAAGACATGAGGAATTCAGAAGATTAGAATTTGGTAGAAAACAAAGAGTGGATGCATCTTCGTCATTGCAAACGATTTTGAGCCATGTCATTCAAGGTCTCTGACCATTGATTGTCATCATCTCGCGAATCCTAACCAGATAGTCTATACCTACCAATATGGCCCAGTCCACTTGTCAGTGACTTCATAGATTTGTGCCACGTTTTGGTCTGGCCACCCCTAGCTTTCTTCCAACCTACTCCTACACCATAAAACATTGTACGACGGGGCAGTAGGTAGTACTGGTATTTCCTCACACAAATCGAATGAGATTTGTGAAGTGCATATTTATCTGGTGCTTCCTTGTACCAATATTTATGTGTTTAAATAAATATAATAAATAAGTTAATATAGATTGCTATCTTCCTTACAAAGTTCTTATCTAAAAGGCAACTGAACATCGTGGCTATGTAAAAACTTACCGTCTTGGATTTCATGAGATTATTTTATTTATTGATTGTAAATGTTGGGTGGTATAGTCTAGATTTCGTTGCAATAGCCCAGATAAATGCACCTTTTATCCTAAAATACTCATACTTTTAAAACTGCCAGTTCGATTCTTTCTTAACGAATCATATTGTTCATGCAGAATATTATCTATTACTTATAATACTCTAGGATTTATCTTCATAATTTCATCTTGTTGTGCTGATATTATGGTGTGATGGTAATTGGAACTGATGCGAATATGCGTCAGATTCTACGTTGCTTATGGGCTGTCTTTCAGTTAGGTGACATCAATTCTTTCAAGACTACAGAAGCATATCACATGTGACTGTCAACTAGTAAAAACATAGACCTAACGTCTTTTAATGATTGTCTTCAATCACATGATACTAAGTAACATTGATCGCAGTATTTATGTGTAGTTTTGTTCTCTGAGCTGGATGCTTTGGTCGTGAAGCTATCGTTTTTCTTCTCAATAACATTCTCAGCACAAACTTCAGGTAGGAGTTAATTGTCCGAATCTGTACACTTATTATTCATAACTTGTCCTATCGACCATGATATTGATTAGTTATCGTTGACCTTTGATCCGTCGTTGTCTACCTCTTTATTTCGATTGTGTCTCTCCTTAATTTGATTCTTGGTCCTATATTTGTCGACAATTTTTCTGATTGCTTGATAAATTGAATCGGTTTCAATGTGTTTGTTGATTGAGCTTAGTGCCAAACTTCTCAAACTTCTTCGGTGTTTTTAGTATTCCCTCTATCGAAGATCTCAACATTTTCCCAGTGGAATGTGTGTTTACATGTATAGATATAAGCGAATCTATGTCATAGCATGACATTTGACCGGTAATTGATTTTAATTCACACGAAGATGAAGTGGTGGGGTTCACCTGGTCCGATGTAGTGTTCTCAGTTAGAGCAGTTTATTTTGTAGATGATGTTCGGCTATTCTTCTTTTGTCAATTTGTCCTTTAGTTTGGATAGGATTGATTGAAGTGACTTCGGTGGTTTGTATGCTACACCTATTCCAAAGGGCTTTAATAATCTCGTTGTAATTTCTGATATGTCTCTTGTGTGTTGTAATATGATCCGTTTGTTGATTGGTGTACTTGATTTGTTTTCTGCTGATGCACTGGATTGGTAATTTTTGTTGAAGTTTTGTGGGTATCGATTCTTTTGAAGAATAGGCATCCAATATTTTTCTTCATTTTTTCTTGCTGTAAGTGTGCTGCATTGTGTTCTCACCCTCTAGAATGAAGTTTTTGGACAGTCGACTTAATGAATTCTTGGTTTCTTGATACTGTGATCGAGAATTTGATTTGTGTCAGTTCTGGTGATTGGTACATTGAAGAATTATAGTTTGTTGTTCGACTGGTTTTCGATTGTGAGTTTTTATGTCATGGAAGACATTGTTGATGAGATGTAGGTGTTTTCCATTTGTTCCTTTTGACTGTAACGAATGTGTTGTCCACAAAATGAATTCACGTTTTTAGCTTGGTCATTGGTATGGTTAGAGGTTTCCAGACTGTGGGTCACTGCTTCTGCAGTATATCCTGATAGCGGTGATCCCATTGGTGTTCCTTTCGTTCGTTGATTTTATTGTTTGATTGGAAGTATGTTGTTGAGCCTAAAACGACGAGTCCTATTAAACTTATACTTGAAGCTTTGTGCACTTTGGGAGATTTATGTCGTTGGTGAAGAATGAACGGTGACAAAGTTTTCTGTGCTATGCTTTGTTCAATTGAGGTTAATAAGGCTGCTTTATTGAGGGGTAGGATCAGTTTGTCGTTGTTTATTTGAATTTCTATGATGTTTTCCTATAATTGTATGGTAGATTTGATGAATTGATTGGATGAATCTGCTTACCGTTTCAATATTCTTATTTAAAATATTGGCGACCTACATATTTTTCACTTTTAAAACCTGTGTTCATCATGTAGCATATAGCTGGACTGCCTCGTCATGCTATGGATGCCTTTAGACAATATTCTGCTAGCTTTTATTCAATTTCGTGTTGCAAAGTCCTGGTCTAACTAGGTTTCACTAGTAATTTTGGATCGCTTAATATGACTTCCAGTTGATTTTATTAATTTGTTGTCCAGATTCATTTATACCTAGATCTAGAGGTTTTGTGTAGTGTATATAGATGTTTCGTTGAAAAGCATACCAGCGATGTGTGAATGACCATTAACGTCCTCACACTTTGTGCCGCAGTCCCTATCCGTGGAATTACTAGAAAATCGAGTAATTTCGCATTTTTCGTAGTATAGATTGTTTGTGAAGATTATTCTATCTGTAGTTTACATCAGTGGTTGACTTTATGTAGAAAACTTATGCGGAACCTAGGTGTTCTAGGTAGATAGAACTCCTCAATAATACACACTAACCCCATTGAGGATCAAACGTAGGACCTTCAGACCACCGAGTTTGGATCTAACAGTTTATATTCCTCACCCCAGTCAATCCGTGATCATAAATCATTAGCGTTGGTTTTTCGTTTCGTGCTAGGATGTATGCCAACAGTTATATAAGGCTTCCGGACTACCACTGGTTTTGTGGTTTACACTATATTATGTTAAGAAAAGCGAGTATCTGGAGCGTTTCATATCATTGTAAATTTCTTTGCCTGAATGTTTATTCAAACAACCGCACTTAGGTTTACCCATCTCACATATATAAATCTCAAATCTACTCATTCACATTACAAACTGCACGTTTTTCAGACCCACCATCATATTGTCGTTTCATATAGAATAACATAAACGACATAATCAAACCAGTTTTAATTTTGATTGAAATAAATATTCTACCTTCTTCATCCATACTATTTAAACTCATGTTGAGACATCACAAATATATTTTATCACTGCGTAAGATCATCGTAACCCTAGTTTGCCTGTTTATCAAACAGACTACGTTAACGTTATATAACTGGGTCTAGATTATTCTAGCTTTCATTTCGTATACAGATATAACTTAACTCCTTTTTCTGGTTTCTTCATTCTTTACATAGGTTTGAATCACATCGTAGTACATGTGAAGCGGTAGCAACAACAACAACAAGTGATAATATGGAAGAATCAATACATCCTATGGAATCTGATCAAAGTATTGCTTCTAGTCCAAATAGTACTGAAGCTTCTGATTTACCTTGTTCCAATGTTGACTTAACTTTAGAATCCCTAGAACCTGTGAAAATATCAAATGAGAAATGTATTGATGAAAGTCAAACTACATAAAGAATAAAAAGTGTGTATGTGTGTGTGCATGTATGTTTGTGTCTGTATTCTTTTCTCTTTCGTACTTCTCATTCAAAAACATTGATGTATATTTTCTCATACCTATCTATATATTTATTATTACAATGATCATTATAACTATTATTATTATCCCACATGTTCCTATCCGTATACTTTGTCATTTATATCATCTTTGATGTCTGTTTTTAAAAAAACGAAGCGAACCAAATCTACATACTCCTCTTTGTACAATTCTTCATTTTATGATATATATATATATTTGTGTATAATATTTCTGAAATAAGATCATATATATATATTATGTAGTTCATAATGAATCAAAATTGAACTGTATCATGTTTAGAAATCCGTTTTGCTACCATTCTGCCCGTCCTACTTACCTCAATTTATCTAACTGGGTAGTATCATTGGCTCTCAACACATAGAATGTAGCTCGAAGTTGTGTACATAAACTTGGACATAAGCCGTAGGATTAGACGACTGTGTCATTTATGGTAGTGTAAAGCCTGAACATGTTTTGGATATACACATAAAATGAACAATAACAAAACGCAATTTCTAAGTTATCACTGGTAAATGAAGTCGAATACCTCTATATAGACATAAATGTATTTATGTGACAATATTAAATCGAGAGGGTGGAATAGCTTCTCGCTAAATACACAAATTCCAGCACAACAAGATATCATAAGAGTATCCAATGATATCAGACCAAACGTCTGACGCTTAAACATGGTCGTTGAATACCAAAAGTCCTTATTCAGAACCAGTAGTGTGCATATCATTATTACTAAAACACAAACATTGGTACAAGGAGGCACCTCATAGATATGCGCCACAAATCATTCGATTTATGTTAGGGCTGGGATATTGCTCGGGTGTTCAAGCCGAAGCAGATAGTTTTAGGGTACTCTACCCGGAGTCTTCGACCTAAAGGCTTGATCCATAAGGCAGTGGAGCAATGTCAGATGTCCTATGGTAGCCGATGACCAACAATAGGTTCATACGCCATTTGATCCCTCTGGATTTCATGTTCACCATTGTTTTGGAGTGAGGGTTTTCCAACTTCCCTACGTTGACCCTTCGTATCCATCAAACCGATTAAAGCATTGGACATTCGCTTTTCATTATCTTAATTTCGTGAATAACACCCCAGTGGTGAGAAAGCAGTGAGTAGGACTTCCCTGTCAGTGACTGCATACGCGTGGCCATGTGAGAGTATCTCGAGAGGGAGAGTGTGCTCTCGGCAGTACCAGACCATTTGGGGGCCTAGTGTGCATTGGCTTCAGGACACTGAAATGACGAGTGCCGTAGAAATTTGATTTAGTCACAAAGGAAGTAAATCTCATAACACTATCCCACTGCCTTATGTATTTAGCCTTCCCCCTCCCGGAATGGAAGGCTTGGTGAGTGGACTGCTCAGAAGATTAGTTCCTTCGATTTGAACACCCAAGGCAGTATCCTTACCTTACGCAGAAATATATTAATGAGAATCTGCTCCGTTCGCTTTCCTTAGCTACCCATTCGAATGATACAATGAAAAAAAGACTTATTTGAAATTAATATTTTTGTACAGAATATTATGAACATAAATAAAATAAGAAAAACATTAGTATACTCAATAGTTATGATTGAAAACTTCGTTTAGATTGTATTTCATCTAATAATTGTTGTAATTCCTCTTCTGTAAAACGTGGACTATCTAAACTTGGCAATAATGCTTTACTTTCTTCTGCTGTATCCGGTAATAAATTAGCTAATGAAGCTAATTCAAAATTATGAAATCGTTTCTGTGTTAAAAGGCTGAAACAAAAAAAAAGAATTATCAAAGATCAAATTTTATTTAACTTACTTTCGTACACTTTCGATTGTTTCACGATTATTAAATTTAGAAAATTGTGTTACATAATTTAATGTTTTTGTAAATACTGGTGATAATTCAAGTTCATGGATTGTTGCATTTTCATTTTGTTCTTTTCTGTGTATTTTTTGAGAGTAAAAACAATAAAAATTTATTATTTTAGTTATTGCTGTAGTTTATTTATATATTTGAACAGATAAATATGGGTACAAAGGGGCACCGAATACATATGCGTCACTCGGTGTGGGTTGTGATACTGCTCGAGTGCCCAAACAGAGGCAGGTGGTTTTCTTAGGGGGGTTACTCCCTGAGTCTTCAACCTAAAGGTCTGATTCACAAGACAGTGGAGCATCGTAAGGTCAGTCACAACGTAGAACTTCGTACGTACGTACATCAGTTCGAATTGCCATACCACATTAGCACAGAGATGCAGTTGTCCATTCAAATCCCATAGTGGTAGAAGTAGTAGGAGTATAATCAGAAATCCAAAAGATTAGGGTTTGAAGAAATTATTGAAGGAGTATAGTACAGTGAAATAAATTTGGAAAGAGGAAAACAAAGACATGAGGAATTCAGAAGATTAGAATTTGGTAGAAAACAAAGAGTGGATGCATCTTCGTCATTGCAAACGATTTTGAGCCATGTCATTCAAGGTCTCTAACCATCGGTTGCAGTCATCTCGCGAATCCCAACCAGGTAGTCTACACCTACCAACATGGCCCAGTCCACTTGTCAGTGACTTCATAGATTTGTGCCACGTTTTGGTCTGGCCACCCCTAGCTTTCTTCCAACCTACTCCTACACCATAAAACATTGCACGTCGGGGCAGTCGGTGGTCGGGCATACGTAACACATGTCCCAGCATCGTAAGGAGATACGGTCCCATGGTAGTCGGTGAACAACAATTGATTCATGCGCCATTCGTTCCCTCAGGATCCTGGACCCGATGTACACCATTGGTTTGTAATCAGGGTTTTCCAACTTCCCTAGGTTGACCCTCCGTATCCACCAAACCGATTAAAGCGTTGGACATTTGCTCCTTCATTCTTTCAATTTCGTAAACAACATCCCCGCCGTGAGAATGCGGTGAGTAGACTACCAGCATCTGCAGTGATGTCATCTACTTACAATGGAGAGGAGGGGTTATAAAGTGTCAGCCATATAAACGTCATGTCGCCTTACCCAAAGGATTTCTATCTAAGGCGGTAAGGCTCTTTTAAGCAGAAATTTAACTTCTCCACAAGAATACCGACACCAAAAAGTTATGTCAGACCCTGTGGCCAAGGCCTCAGATTCACAAAACCACTACTAACCCAGCCCTCCTTCATGCCCCTCAACAAGAAATATCAGAAAGTGACAACCACCCCCCACACCTGTAACGACGCATGAGATTTTCTTGTTCGTAATCAGTTTACATACCCATAAAACTTAAGGATTTGGTAATGGTTAGGACCTAAACTAGACAGTTATTCGTAATTATACGAAATCAAGGTTTATCAATACGAAACTTTTCCTACAGGCCGATAACTTTGTAGAGGAATAAAATACATGAGGCAGTAAACTACTAAGTTGCCGAGATGAGCGGTGACACGTTTTATAATGATTACTTGCCTTGTAAATATTTAAGACGTTTTCGGAAGAAAGCATGGAGCTATTTACTTGTTGTCACTATACAATGACCATCATCTGAGTGACTAACGAGATTTGTGAGGCGCATATTTATCTGGTGCTTCCTTGTGTGAGTGACTAATTAGTAGAAACCTAAGGACTGACAAAATCTTCAAGTCTTTTAAAGATTGAGTATTGATAGTTTGTAGTTCCATGTTTGTCACCGTTATTTTGTGCAGACGGATTGTCTATCTGAACTCAGTTATCTTTGATGAAACTTCTGGTTACATGTCTTCAACATTAAACTAATATTAGTTTAAATGTCTGCAAAACTTCTAAGTATTCATAAGTTTATGACATCGATTTAATAAGGGAGTTGTTACGTGATCGCCCAACCAAAACTCTACGAGCCGTTAGTTTAGGAATTCATGCCTTTTGATAACCATTATGAAGCGTTTATTCTATGAAGTGCCTTACTTGTCAAAAGTTCACTAAATGTCTTTGCGCATATCTGTTTCACATAACGTTGGTAAATATAAACTAATTCAGATAGATCGTATAAAAACGACCTAATGAAAATACAATCCGTGGTCTGACCCAAAATGAGCACCAATGGATTTAGAAAAAAACCACATGTTTAAGTATGCTCATTTGCATAACCAAAATAAGATGCGACATGTTTTGATGATAAACCATTCCAAAAGTGAGAAGTATGAGGGGCCTGTGTGGAAGTAATGTACAGTTTATATCCTCTGAACGACTCAAAGACAATATTATGCCAAATAATCAAGCTTATTACAAAACAACGAGTAAAACTAAGACAAACCTATGTTCCAACAATATTTTAACTTCAGCAAGCATTAGTGTATCGGCATTCTCAAAATCTGAAAATACTTAATTCAAAATGAAAAATACCTTTAGAGAATTTTAATTCAGATGCATCGAAATCATCAGCTACTGCATGCATTTGTGACATCTTAACCGCAAGTTAACGTACAACACCAATTTTGAAACTCGCGCAATGGTAAATAAATCACCGAAACATATAGTTCTACAAGTTTTTGACATTAATCATTAACTCATTAGTTTTAATGTACACACCTTGCTGGGGGAATAGCAGTGGTATCTTTATGCGTTATCCAATACCCAAGAAGCAGTGGTTTGCCACGAACTTGTGTAGGGTGAATGGTGTTACTGCGCTGGCTGATTGCTGTCTCAGTACGTGTCCATGTATTCGAACATGTCTAACATGAAATAGTCTAGCTAACCGATTGCACTAAATATCGTCATTTACACAGTTATTTGTGGATTTTCAAATTTTGCAGTTTCAGTCAACACATGTCTCAAGACAGCAGTAATCTGGATATCAGCAGCTGTTCCATCATCAGTCAGTAGTTTCTTTGGCTGTAATGTGAATATGTTGTACTGATAATTCGAGCATTTAGAGATGACTGTCTTAAGAATAAAGAGTAAGTTAATTAATTGGTAATGTGTAAGAGGACGGAATTGAAAGAATAATGAAGGACGGAGATGATAATAGGAGAGATGAGAATTAATTCTAATACGTGGCAATAATAACTCTGGTAATTTGTAAGTCATGCACCAGATGCTTTGGGTCCAAAATTAAGTGGTAATCCCGGAACGAGCACAGGTTTGGCATGCCTCCTCTTACAGATATCAACGGATTGGTCTGTGGTCACTTTGGTGGGGAATACATTCCAAGTGGGGGCAACTTTTAATGAGAAAAAGTGAGGGCGCACTACAGTGTTCATCCTTTGACATGCAGTCTCTCGACGGTTGCCTGGAGTAGTATGGTGATTATTTTTTAGAAGTGTAGTGTTTAGGTGGTGTTTTATGCTTATTGTCATTTATT